ATGATGGGTTGTCTGTGATCCTGTGAAATTTGAGGTAGGTGCACAAACCAAAGACAAGCATCCTCTAGTCTTCTCTCTGGACCGCTTGGAACGGCTTTATTTTGAAGCAGCCTTGTTCCAACAAGGTTTACCGCATGTACTGAACTGAGCTTACGAGCAAGAACGCAAATCTTTCATGTAAAGTTTTTTAAGATTAAGAACTTCCAAGCAGTTACAGGATTAAAATTAATAAATAATAAAATTAATAGCAACAAGGTAGTCTTTTAATAGGAAAATCAAAAGATTGATAGAGACACACAAAGGACTGAAAAAGGACTTAAATGTTTCACTTGCTGCTTTTTTCCCCTAGGATTTCTTAAGTCTTTGTGACAGACTTTAATCTGTAATTGTACTCAGAGAGCAAATATTCTGCAGTTATTAAGGCAATGGAATTCAGACTAAATCAGCCAAGTTGCAGGAGAGTTCTCACTGAAAACGGAGTGAGATTTCTGAAACATGGCACGCTTAATGGTACTCTATGAGCTCCCACCCTGTCACGCACCAAAGGATAAATACGGTTTCTCCAAAGATAACATACTCTGTCCAGGAGGATTTCCTAGAACAATGTACAGGAAAACCACAACTTTTTTTTTTTTATTAATAGAAAGGGACAAACTTGCCTGATGTACATTCACTACAAATGAATTTTCCTGCTGGTCTTCCAGAGAGCCCAAGGCAGCTTACATGAAAAGCTCGATAGCAAAGTCCTTCACACAGTAGGAGATCACCTGTTTTTTCACACAGCTTTTACAACACAAAGGCATTGAATGTTAAAGAGAAGTTCACATGTGGAAAAAACTGTTTTCTTTATTCCTTTTCATATATTGCTCCGCAAAATCTCTTTTCCCATTGTTGAAATCAAATTTAACAAGCGAAAGATAATTTTATAAGCATCATCACATGCCCTGGCTTCCAGTCGAAACAGATAATAGAGTCATTAAACCGCTGGAAACATCACTCATAGAACCATGGTTCATGAGCAAATACAATCTGACAGAAAAAAAGGAAAAGAAAAAAAAGCTTTAAGAAATTTTCCCTGAGCACACTGATGCATCTGAGTAGGGTTAAAAAGCATCCTTATTTCCCTTTTCCTTGGCAAAAGGAAATGAATCCAGGTGGCACAATGATACTTCTATGTCTGAGTGGTTAGCGATGACACATGCATAACTGAAAATGAACCCAACAACAATGCTGGCAGAATTTAAGGGATAAGTCAACATTTAAAGATAGATATAACCTCATCATCACTATGTACAAGAGATGGAAATAAAACTGCTTGCCCAGTGTTGTGGAAACTAATTCGATCTGTCCATTTGCATTGTGTTACCATTTCATAATCTAGGAACTCTTCTAGAGGAGTTTGAGAAAGCTTTTTGCTTTCAGTTAGCACGCCACACACACGCCGCTACCAACGCATCACTGCAATCGCCGCTGCGCGCAGGAGCACAGAACCTGCTGGGTTTTACTTCCTCCTCTTTATTAACAGATAAGCGAGCAGCTCTTGTCAATCATTTAACTAGTTACCTGGCAACACTCATGTATTTATTCTGAGGTACAAATTATGCTTATCTAAGAGATCTGGAAACTCAAGCAGAAAGGCTAAGCCACTTATCGGAGGTCAAGAAAAAAGAATAATTAAGAATTAAGAATTTTGTTTACTGGCATGGTATCCTAATCACTAACAGACATCTCAGACACACAATAAACCTGTTTCTGGCCTAATGCTGTCATTTTCATATTTAAAAAGATCTTTTCTAGGAAACCTCAGAAAACACGGCTCACTGCCCCAGCTAACATCTCTCACCTGACACACATATTCTTTTTTTGTTCCTGCTCCTCGCTCAGATTTTTTGGATGATATAGACACTTCAGTCTGAGTTTCATCAGCACTTTCATAGGGAGACTCTGACCGCTCATCTCCTTGGCCATCGAAGATCTGAAGATTAAACATAGGTGTTAGAGAAACCAGTCATGTATGATCCATTTTGCACAGAATATCAACTGATGGAAGCAAACCGACTGCAATTCAGACTAGCAGATTTAGGCACACTCTTAAGGTTTTGTTTCCCCCACCTTTAAAAAAAACTTGATTAAAACCTCAGTATGCATTTGTGGAACTTTCATCAGAAGGACTATGTAACAACCATCCTCCCCAACTCAACAGCAGCCAAATCAAAACACCAAAACTTTGTAATACAGCATTTTATTTATACTCAGTTCTGTAACAGTTATCTCGAAGTACCTAGCCCATAACACAGGAATACCTTCAAATCCCTTGAATATGTGTTTTATGAGACAGTTAATTTTAGAAAGAGACTTGATAAACTTCAAGCTGCATATGAAAAGTCTCTGACCCAAATATTCTCCAAGAAACTGGGAACAGAACATAGAAGAGAGGAAGAGAGAAAAAAGTGGCTCTCTGAATATGTTTAAGGAATGTTATAGCCAACAATTAATTCAAAATACAACAAGAGACAGCCCTGTTACGGATAAATCTTATAGACATATTAAAGATGCAGGGGTTTAAAAAATATTCTTAATTTACTTAAAAAAAACCCCAACCCAAGTAACATATTTAAAAGAAAACATAGGGCAGTTTTCACTTCAATAGAATTTAGAGATAAAAAAAAACCAACCCAAGTAACATATTTAAAAGAAAACAGGGCAGTTTTCACTTCAATAGAATTTAGAGAGGGAATGGACAACTGAGTCATTTGTCTTATGTTACAGCAGAAGATGCAGAATTTCATATTGTTGCTCCCAAATAGTACTCAATGAGTTCTGTTTCACCAGTATATTCTCCAGGAAAGCATGACAATTTGGAATCGCAAAAGAACACTGTCACTTCTTTTGAGCATGTTCTAATGGTTATTCACACATACCATCACAAATACTGCCTCATGTCCCTTTTGAGTTGTCTAACTGCAACTCACAGTTGATGATGCATTCTCCAGGTATTTCAGCTATATTAAAAATCCTTTGGAACCAGACATATTCCTGCTCTGGAAGCATGTTGCAATTAAGCCCGTTTCAATCCTTTTTGATAAGCCAGAACATTCTCTAATTTTCTCCCTAAGGAACTTCTTCCAGAATCACGAGAAAGGTGGTGGGTTTTCTCTAAACCTTATTGGTACTTTAAAGAGGTTGTTGAAAAATCAGGCATGAGAACTGGAGGCAATAGCCCATTACAAGTCTCATAAGAACAATACCCAAAGCAAACCAACATGCTACTCTTCACTGCTTCTCTTCTGCTGTGTAAGGATCTCCCTACGTCTTACAGCACTGAAAGTCCCTGTAGATCGCCATGGTACTCAAGAGATCATTTTGCCAAACGCTGTTTGTCACCCCACTTTATATGAAGAAATTGCTTTCTGTTTTTGGACACAAAATCTCATATTTATCTATAGTAAAACTCATTTTATCAAAAATGGCCCAGTTTACCAAGTAATGGAGACAGCTACATGCAACCTCCCTATCACCCAGTCTCCATGTAACATGCAAATTTATTAGAAGTGATTAATTTTGAAATCAGAGAGAAAAATGTAAAGCTGAACAAGGCCTAGCATTAGTCTTTATAAAATCCCATTAGAAACACTGGTTTGGAGCGATTACTTCTCACCATTGCTGCCAGCTAACTTGCACTCCTCTGTTTAACATTTGCTTTCCTTAACCATGAGAAAATTATTTTGTAAATTGGATCAGATAGGCAGTTGTTGGTTGGTTGGGTTTTTTTTTTTTTCCAGATTACTTTCAAGGATGTAAAAGCATTTCCCCTGTGCAAATGCATACTATCACAGTGATTCGTACCTACACTTCACCTATGAATATTCCTACAACTGGAGTGATTTGGAGATTCCGCCCGGCTGTTTTAGAAGTGGTTAAAAGAAACTGCATGTAAAATCACTGCCTTGTTCAGGCACCAGGAAATCTCTGTCCCCTGCAAGGAGCTGTGAAATAGTGAACTGCAAATGCAACCCGAGTGCATGGCCAGGAGCAGCCAGTTCTTGCTGGGAAGAGGCAGATAAAGAAAGGTAGCGTGGGAGTTCGGCAAAAACCACAAAAACATTTTCCCTTATGGTTTAAGTAAACTTACACACATGCTTATTTCTATTTAAAATATTCCCACAGAAGCATTAATTAGTATAAGCAGTGCACTGCTCTAACATTTTCAGTATCTTATTATGTTCCTGTTTCAACTAGCCAAAATTAGTCATGTTTAGAAGAGAAAAAAAAGAAAAAAAAATAAGCTGGAAGGTCTTGGATCTGTATTTCTTTTCTACTTAAAAAACCCTGAAAACCTCTTTATGTTGTAAACAAAACAAGCAGTCTTATGTTAACTTGACACTACGATTGTCCCCCATCTTTTCCCCACACCACAAAACACCGAGAAAAACCATTTGTGCAGCACACCTTAAGAGTTTCTAGCAGCAAAAGCTGTACAGTCTTGCCCTTGAGGAAAGCATTCCTCTTCCCCTAGCTCACTACTTTTGAAGGCAGAACAGACAAACAGAACATACCCAGTGACAAGTATATTTGGTCACAAAAGAATAAGGTTTGTTTCAAAGCAACGGTTGCCTAGCTTTTCCTTGGTTTATGTACTTGTAAAATGTCCAAATGAAGGATGCAGACCTCTACATGGAAAGGTAACCCTATTGGCAGATGACAGTTTTTCAGAAACCCCCTAGATATAGGTCACAAAATCTCAGCCATTTGTGAACTGTAGGTTGACAGCCTTTTTCCTACAGAACTGAGATTTTACTGCCTTAGAATTAATGCACTAGCCCTTCATTTAAATTAAACGGTTACTGAGCCAAAAAAGAGCAGCGCTGGCAAGAATCAAACCCTACGCCACAAATGCAACCACAAAACCCAAATTCTATCAGCCCATTCAAGATAAAACTTGGCAATTTATACCCACCTATAGATTAATGCCAGCTTTCAAGCATGAACACCACCACACAGGGCATGAACAAAATACCTTTAGTTCATCAACTGTATGGCTACCAGACTAAGAGAATCCTTCAAGATCTCTCCTTTACAGCTGTCAGAAGCCTCACACACATCACGAATCAAATGCTCCATTAACCACCAGTTTTGCACTACGCAGACAGGCCTGGATACCTGCTCACGGCTGTTGCAACTCCTAAGAATCAACACATCCATAAGCTGCTCAGGCTGCTGCTGCAAAGGGCATCTCTTGATCCCTGCCACCATGACCAAAGGTTCAGCTATCACATCCAACAGCTACGCTACACCTAACTCAGGCACAGCTCACATCCACACCACCATCACCGGAGAGTTTACATATTGGCTAATTTTAGGGGGCTAATAAAAGGGCAGGCTAGCAGATTCCCTGTTATAAGAGAAGGAAGCATTTCTTCAGGGTAACTCACGAGTTTGATCCTAATCTCATCTAATTGATATCTTGCAGAAGGCGAAACACTCCCTGCCAGCCATCTCCCTTTGCAAATAACCCCTGTTCTATATAACCATCTTTTGGGAAAGCTCCCTCTGTGAAAAGAGCCAGAATTCAACACCTCAGCTCCTGAAGCTATCCCAGAATAGCTGATGGAAATAGCAGGGAAGTAAAATAAGTGTCTGTCCCTTCAGGCCTGCACAGAAGAGGCTGAGACAACCTTCATCTAATGTTCCTTGGAGAGGACTTACAACCTAACGACATGTAGAGCACGAGATGGTTGAGGGAACTGTATTTGTACCCCAAGCAAGCTGCAGCAGCATCAGCAGGTTCTGATAAACGCAGGGGCAGCTGAGTTTTGCAACAAAAATAGCTTTAGATTGAAACAGTCACTAACTAAAGATGATTTACAAGACGATTGCTCAAAATTAGTTCATGCTTATGTGAAACACAGCCATCTCTAACATAACACTTTTGTGGTTTGTTAACATACGAGTGCCCAAACCACAGCATTCAATAAAAATCAGCACAGGTGGGGGGGGGGGCTTTTACCTTTAATTATTAAGTTACAAACGTAAATCTTTCCCTTGTGATCATGCCAGAGCTTGTCTTGTCCTTACTTTTGTAATATAATCTCCTTAGCAAAGTAAATAGCATGTAATTAACTCTTCTGATATTCAGGCCAAGGTTCAAAGTAATCAACATTTAGATTAGCGGCAAAACCTGTTAATTTGCAATTTGTAGCGATTGCCGGTTTGCTATTTTATTCTGGTTTAGATTTTGAGCAATTTCTTACTTCTCATAAAGGCAAAGTACTATTTTAAGAGTGCAAATTTAGGGGAAAAAAGGTGAGGCTGTTCACTTCAATTTATAACAAGTGACAAGTTTCTGCTATGAAATTGTACCTGAACTCTATAATCACCTCCCCTTTTCATTAGCAATTACCAATGCTGCAACACAGAAGATACCCCGCTTCTGCTGAAGTTAGTATCATCACAAGCACCGTCAAACTTTACATTTTGCCATCAGCCAGGCTTTCCTTCCCATTTCATTCATTATTGAATGTCAACGTTATTTTGCGAGTACTTGCCTGTAGAGGCTTTCACACCGCCCTGCCTGAACACTGAGCGATGGGGTGGTATTTCAGAGATCAAATCCAGCTCTTTTTACTGGAAACCACACATCTGCGTACATAAATGAAAGGGGAAAACACTGGCCTAAAAATCGAATCACAAGGAGCTTTGCTCTTCATTCGGCCTGGGCCAGAACTTACTTCGGGGATTAATGAGGTTCAGAATACGGTTGCTTGCAGAAGCGGCAAATTTACAGTCAGATTCCCAAGGCAATCCTTCCCTTCCCACGTGTATCAGTTATTATTCACTACTCGCACAAATAAGACTTGAAGGGAACATGTAAGGACATGTGACTGCATTTTTCCAAGTTCTCTATAGCTTTGTTATTGGAAAAATACGTGCTACTGAGTCAAACCAGGACAATATTTTTGCATGTCTGTAAATTCT